TCCCCTACCTCCCTTTTATTGAAATAAATAAAAATGACTACATGGGGGGGGGGGGAGAAAAAAACCTCTCAAGGTTATATAAACTCTTGCATCTCCTATTTTTATTTTTTATATCTGTTGTGTAAAGTCTGTTCTGCAGGTACGCAAATTCGGCTTGATTTTTTTGCTTCATTTTTTTTTCATTTCAAAACGGCTGATTACGATATCTTCATTGTTTTAGCGATACAGGTTTTAGCCGTGTTGATTTTACAGGCAAAAGCAGTCAGAACTCTTGGGTCTAATAAAAGATATTGCCTCTACCAAGTAGATGGTTTTACAAAAAAGCAAAATTTAGCTTAATTGGTCTAATGAAAGATACCGCCTCTACCAAGAGTTCTGACTGGCTTTGACTGTAGATCAACGTGGCTAAAACCTGTATTGACAAATGAATGTAATCCATATGTTGGCTTTGTGTGTGAGGCTGCTGGAGGCTCCAGTAACAAGAACAGCCTAACTAATCTGCTGCCTGGGGAACAATCTTCTCACCTGATCTAGTTTTAATGGTACAGATGTTGGCATGTAAAAAAGGCAGCAAACAGCAGCATTTTGCAAAAGGCAGGCAGAATGGCCCCTTATTAGACAGCATCTGGCAAAACAGGCTGTTGCCTCTGAAAGCAGAACAGACATGACTAACTCTCTCTACTCCTAGCTTGCAGAAGAATATTAAACAGCTCAGTTAAGCAATGCTTGCGGGTGAAAGAGTTGGGTATTTGTTTGTTTTGTTTGTTGGAATAAAGCCAAAGCTACCCCTTTACTTGTTCAAGGGACATGGCAATAAAAAAATCAGTCTGATCAGTTCTAGTGGGATGTTGTAACGAAAAGCTGTTGATCCAAGCATTCTCTAGGGCCCTGTAAAAAGAAATGCTTGTTTCCCACGTGTTCTGACATGTGCAGGGAAAGTCTGGAAGTGAAGCCAAGTATAATGGGCAGAAAAGAATCCTGACAATTAAGTTGGTTTTGACTGTGTTCCCAACCAAAAAACCTAAGGATCTCTGTCCAAAGATTAAACGCTTGCTTCACCAGTTAAGCTCTTCTGGAACATTGATTTATTCCTGCTCTTCTAGATGTTTCTTTCTTCCTCTGAAGTTGGCACAGCTATGTAATTCTCACGTAGTGGAGCGCTGACAAACATGAGTTATTTGAGCCACAGTATGAGTTGATTTTGGTATGGGACTCGATGGAAATGTCCCATGAAGTTTATTTCAAAACAAATTTCTTGCAGAACGTCATGTCTTAGCAAGATATTGATTATTTTGCCCATGTTTCCACATGTAAAGAACTGGCAGTTTGGGAACTATGTCTTCATTCACAACTTAATTTTGTGCACTGACCCTGAGTTTAACAACTGCAGAAGTTAATCAGCTACAGGTTTTCTTAGTGGTGCTATGGGGAAGCCTCATGGTGTATGGTATTGTGGCTAAAGCAGGTGATGTGGGAGCTAGGATTCCTCATTTCCTCTAGCTTTGCCACTCTCGTGTCATGTCCCTGTTTTGTACCTCAGTTTCCCGTTTTTTAAAATGCAGGGGAGTGAAAATGTTTCCAAACCTCATGGTGCGCTCTCTCTGTCCATATTCATGTTGGTAAAATTTGTTGATCTCAGAAGCTGTTATAATTTGCTCTAGTTATTTTTTTTTCTACCTGCTAAATGTAGGTATTAGAGAAGTGTGTAGCAAATAATAATGGTTCTTTTTTTTTTCCCCGTCACCTTCCTCCCCACCCCACAATGTTTTCCTGTGCTTTTAAGCAGTCTGCATTTTTAATATAGAAAACAACTGATATCTGTAACCTTTTAACATTGACACATTAGCAAGAGCATAAAGACAAATTTGAGTGCCTTGGTTCCTAGTCTGGATCAGAGAAACTTCTAGCACGTAGTCCACATTGAGATGTGTAGGGGTGTATATTTGTAGTGGCACAAATTTGTGCCACTACTTTGTGTCTCAGCGCATGCCCTGTATAGGCATGTCTAGATGAAGGGGAACACTTGTTTCTCTGGGGACAAGTAACCTTGTCCCCAGGGAATACCCATGCCATGCAACGCGCCACAGCGCATAAGTTATCCTAGGTGGGGCAGGGGAGGCTGGGGTCAACAGTTGTGCTGGTCTCAGTAGCCTTTCCTGGGGGCCTCCTGGGGTTGCCGCCTCAGCAGAAAGCCTGGGTGGCAGCTGGAGCATAGCTCCAGCCAGCTTGGCTCTGGTTTTGGGTGACTTGCGTTGCTGCCACATTTACCACCCTGTTTTGGGGGTTTTCTTCCCATGGATTTTTTGACTCTGGGATCTCCCAAGGTCACCCCCCCTGTTGTCCCCCACACTGCAAAGTATGAGTATGGGGAACACCTGCATGTGTGGCTCCACATATTTGTGCTTGTCTAGATGTGGCCTATGTATGCTTTGTTGTGGGACATATTGTCCTGCTTTGGGCAAACTGCCCATACCCAGCCCTTCCTGGCTCCTGGCATGCTGAAGCAGCAGGGTCACAAATGGAGCAGTAGAGATGCTCTGGCCAGCAGTCAGAGTGCCTTGCTGGAGAACCAAGCCTCTGTTTGTTCTGGCACACTTCCCAAGCTCTGCACTGTTTGTTTGTTTTTTTCCTGGTACTCTTTTTCGCTGCCTGAAAATCCTGGTAGCAATTTTTGCCCCCAGCCTGCAAATTTGCAGCACTGGTCCCATTTTAATATTCCAAACGTGCGGTTTGTGGAGCCACAAACTGCACGTGCCTGCATGTCTGGACACGGCCCTACTGGGCGGATCGGATTTAGGAGGCCAGTTTCACTGGTTTAATAGGGTAAAAGTGTCAGTGGCATTGAAGGGAAACTGCTTGCAAATGGAATATGGTAACATTTTTTTTCCTCCAGAATTTGCATGTTCTGCTCAAAGCTGCAGATCTTATTTTTGGGGGTGAAATCTATAGATGTTTTATGGGTAACTTAACTTTGTTATCTGGGATTGCCCCATCACTCGGAAGCATGCAATGTGAGAGTGTTAGCACTGAAGTATTTTTAGTGGAGAGACTAAAGAAATGCATGAGAAATTCTCATGACCCAGTAAATGGGTTCAGATTTGATAGTGCTAAGCACTGGCTTGCTTCTTGATGTCGTATAAATGAAATTCTTGTCTCTCTCTTTAAATTTAATGTTGTAGTAGAATCAAAGCTAAAATAAAACTGTGTCCCTACCGTCTCTTGCTGTGGGAGATGATGAAATTGGAATAGGCATGAACTTGGCCAGCATTCCCAGAGTAGGGGAAAGGAGGTATGGTAGTCGTATATTGTTTTGCCTGTTTTAATCTCCTCTGTCGTCTTCTCCAGGCTTTCGGGCAGTTCTGTTTAGTACCATTTTTAATGAGGTAAGAATTTCCTATATCTATACTACATGCTCTGCATTGCCTAACAAATCTGAGTTATCTGGAATAACTTCTTTAGAGGGAGAGGCTGTATAATTAGGGACATTTAATGGAGAGACTAGCATTGAGTTGCCCAGATCTACTACACATGTACTGGCTCTTCTTTGAATTGCTCTAATTTGGTGACCGTCACACTGCCAGGGAGGGTGTAACCTTTTTTTTTTCATAGTCCATCTGGAGCATGGAAACTTCACCTGGCTGCTTCTGTGCCTTCTGCATACATTTTTGTGAAAAAGCAAGCCTTCGCTTGAAGGTGTTGGGTATACAGACCCAGTGTTTTAGGTAAGTGTTAGTGGGGGGAGCCAAGAAGTTGGATGAAGAGTTGAGGGCTAAAAGCAGACTTCTTGCTGAGGAGTTCAGGTTCATTGTCTTTGGTTTGGTCTATTCCTAATCTAACTGATTCCTTGGGGTCTGCAGTCTTGAAGGAACCTGTAACTACATGCACTTAGCTTTAAAGAGATGCAGTTAACAGGCTCACAATCCAGCTCTCTTGCACTGCTTGTAATGGGATGGGCAACATGTCTGCAGATCCCAGTGCATTTTAAAAATCATTGTCATAGTACTGAAGTCTTCAGTTGATAAATATTCCCCCAGGGGACAAAACTGACACAAGCAAAGGTTGCCACCACTTTCGCTTCCTCTCTGTACTGCCTGTCCATCTCTGTGGGCATGGACAGCTGCTAGTCTCTCCTCCCTCTTTGTTAGCTTCCTGGCTCTGATCTTTCCAGACCATCTACTGATTGCTTCTGTTCTCACTCTTAGTTTGGCGGGTACTGTGACATCTGAAGACATAATCCTGGTTAGCATTTGTATCGCAGTAATACCATGAAGTCTTCTGTTTGGGGGACGTTGGAGTGTTTAGAAGGTACCTAGTCAGAATAAAGAGGAAAAAACCCCATCCAAACCCTCCTTTTAAAAAACCTAACAAACTTGAGGTGCACAGATGTTATGAAACGGCATCGCTGCTTGGAACAAGGACTGATGTTTTCTCACTGGCAGGAGTGGCATCACATATAAGGTTTTGGAATCAGTGAGACGCTCCGTATAGTATCAGACAGGCCTCTTTGCTTATCAACAAAGTAAACATAGCCTGTCTGGGGTGATCTTGGCTACGTAAAGAAGCTGGATAGATGTATGGGAGTGAGTATGCTGCCTTTTCTCATCTGGACAACACACCTAGAATAAGAGCCTTTGGCAGATACTGAAGCATCGCATGAAAAGCCCTCTCAAACTGGTGATAAGCTTTAGTCTTTAATCATGAGTAGTTTTTTCTCAAGCCCTTGGTTTTCATGGCAGGTCTCTTGTTCATGCTTAGTCTTGGGCATGACATGTGGAGCCCCAGGTGGAGAAATGCTGTTTGCCCCTGATGTGCTGTCTCTAACATCCCAATTTTTAGCCACCCATCCTTTCAATGCTTGTCTTCGGGTCTGATTTTTAAACACTTGTTTTGAAGCTTGATGGGATAGACCATATTATCTGTTAAAGGAAGAAACTCCACATTGCTTCAAGGTGCTTTTTTCTTCTTCAAAGGAAGTCTTGGCTTTTCTGAAGCCAGCGGTAAAACTTCCTGTGGCACCAATGGGGCCCAGACCCCTGTGTCAAAATGAATATTTGCAGGATGCCAGCTAAACACTTGTATGCTAGGAAATGGGAATTTCTGATAAACAAATGTGCTGGGGTCACTAGGATTCCAGCTTCTAGGAATGGCGAGAGACGCAGAATTACTCTGTAGTATTCTACAGTGTGGGGAGAAGCAGATTATTAAAAGAAAATGCTTTGGAAAAGAGTTCTTTGGGGTTTTTTTGGTTTTGGTTTTTTTTTTCTGAACACAATGTCTTTGAATGATAACTTAGGGTGGAACTTACAGGCTTGAGCACTGACTGCTTTATTTGTCTCCTTGTAGGCAGAATAACCTGTTTCTCCTGCGCTATATCCACATTTCTGAAGATCCCACATTTTTCCCGGAGGTGGCTGCAGAGGCTAAAAAGGACAAGCCTGAGACTAAAAGCACTGCTGAGATTCTCGAGCAGTTGATGGAGATGAGGTCAGCATGTGTCATTATGAAGAACAGTAAGGGTGCAAAATACCCTTGTGTACCAACATCATGTCATCTGAACAAAACCAGAATTTCTGAACCAGTGTCCCCAGTCATAGGAGAAGTTTTGTTTCTCCTGGAAAAGCTTTCTGAATTCCACTGTTCAGCTGGCTTGTCCTTCCTTTGCAAGCTAGTCCCTTACCCAGTATCTCCCCCTCCTACCTATGTGTTGAGCACCACTGCTCAACCTTTGTCTCCTGGTCTGTCATGGGCAGTGCCCACCCCTTTTGCAGGCTGGATCCAGCCAGTAGTCCTGATCCAGCACCCGGGGTGGGTGCAGCAGGAACCATCCAGCTATGTGGAGGGGGGCAACAGACAGACCAATCCCAGTATGGTCCTGCAGGAAAAGGTGCTGAGGAGGGCAGAAAGAGGGCCCCGTGGGAGGGGTTGGGGAATGGGGTATGGCCCGGCCCTGATCCCAAAGCTGGGGGGGAAGAAATGTGACCTGTTCCCATGGAGAAGGGGGCATGGCCCAGCTCTGACCAGCTACATAAGGGTTGGGAATTTGGCAGGTGGAGGGTGCTCATATTAATGGCTATCACTCCTCCACTGCCAAATAATCTGGAGCTCCATGGGCCACAGATGTGATGGCTTTGTGGACCATATTTGCCTTGTGGGCTGGAGGTTGAGTTATCCTGGTATAAAGCAATGGAGGTCACATTCTTTACTTCCTTAAGCAGCGGAGAGGGAGGAAAGCAAGGGGGAGGCAGTTTTTGATTTAAAGTAGGCTTGAATGAAGTGCTGTTGGCATGAGGCACTTTCATGTTTTCAGCCAGTTTTAACTACTTTGGAAACAGGCTAGTACCCTCCCACAACTGGGTCTCATGGGGTTTTGGGGGTTTTTTTTGTTTGTTTTGTATTTAAAGGAAGTGAAACACCTCTGTGTTAGATTCCTTTTTGTTTTATAGCAGCATCTTATTCAAATGCACTGTCTAACATTATTTAAAGACCAGGTGTAACAACCCACCTCCAATCTTTTGCTTAGAACAGACATTGGGTAAAACAGATGAATCTCCAATGACTTGCAGATGTGTCTAATATATTCTAATGGTTGCTACCCAGGTATCGCATTTCTTTGGATTTAAGACTTGCTACTTAAACGTAGCAGGCACTTTTACACATGCTGTAGGAGTGAGGGGGGTGTGGCACTTTAATTAGTGTGGCTAGCAGCTCCAAGAGCTGCTCTAGTTTAAAGCGCTGCAGTCTTGTGTATCAGCATCCCCATGCTTAAAAAATGTCTCACTTAAACAAGCTTTAGGTCAAGCACCCCTGCCACCATTTTTAAGTGTGGGGACTCTGATGCACAAGATGTGGGAGGCTGCTGGAGTACAGTAATTGCCACGCTTCAGCAGACTCGATTACAGTGTGTCAGAACAGACTCGAGTAATTACAGCACATCGTAGCAGCCTCTGACCTCTTGAACCGGCACCTAACATTTCTTCTCCAAATGGCCTGCCTCTTTAACTTTTAAAATAAAATGGTAAGCAAATATTAAATTAATATTTTGTGCATTCTATTTGATAAATGCATTTTAAAAAATATTGACAGGAGATGGGCAAATGGGAACATGACTGAGAATTGTCATCTTATAAATACAGTAGCTCTTCTACACCATAGAGGCTGTGTCTATGTAACCACATCTTTATTTGATGTTTTGGGTGTAGTGTGTTTTCCCTCTAGTCCCATTAAACTCGAGAGCTGTAAATTTGGGGGCATCTTTGAATTCAAAGGAATATAATAAGTACAAAAACAATAGTTCAGTATGGTACAGTTGGGACTATGGAGATTTCTTTGAAACAGACTGGCTGTTACCAAACACCTGAGACCATTCAGTCTTTAGAGAGAAGACTGTAGCCCAGCGATCAACAAACTTTCCTAGCTGTGGGCTGGAATGACCTGCCTTGGGTCAGAGGTAGATGCTAGGACCCACCCATTGCCAGCGTTTCTGTCCATGACGGCATAGAAAGAGCAGCTGAACACTCGTCCCCCACCTCCAAATGCCACTGAAGCCCCATCTCTGTAGGTTGGATGCAATGGCTCCATGGGCACTGGCTGTAGATGGCTACAGCCTGTCTGATCAGGATTTCTTGTGCAAGTTGAGACAGAATTAGGGTACAGTTACAAATTCCCTTCAACATTATTATTATTAATTTTTTTTACACCAAATTAAGATCATTACACTTCCTGGGGATCCTCCATTTCCTCTTAACAGGTAGGGCAGTGATTCTCCATCTGAGGTGCTGCAGCACCCTAAGATGCTGTGTAAGATCTTTTTAAGAGTGGTGTGGGGTGTGCATGCTTGTTCTTGCCCAGCCCTTGTGCAAGGAGATAACCCTGTAATAAATTAATTTTTTGAAATGGGGTGCTTTTCAACTCCATAAAAAATTATGGAGGCATTTCTGGAGTCCAAAACGTTTGAGAACCACTGAGGTTAGGGTATCAATAGCCAAATCAGATGAGGCAAGGCTGTAGCACAGCCTTCTATTGTTTATATCCCAAAGCACAAGAAAAAGCACTTACCACAATGCCTACCTAGCTACCAGCAACAGCACAACAAAGATTCTCACTTATGCTGGCTAGGGAGGAGGAGTGGGGCACTCAGATTGGCAGCAGGTTGTCCTGAATTTGTTGAGACCTCCAAAATCTGGCCTTACTGTGTTTCTGAAAATTACAGCTCTGGAATGGAGGACTTCTTATCTCTTTCTCACTGTCTGGAAATGCTGCTTGTCACATCCTGTATCTTCTACTTTGCTGACCCAGCCAGTTGTAACATCTGCAGATAGGCTTTGGGGTTTTCTCCATTAGCCACACTGCTGCAGTTTAGCATAAGCCCCTTGACCAAGGCCGACAACTGATGGTTTTGGTGTTAGACTCCTTCCTCTGTGTTTCTGGGTCACACCCCCAGAACACCTTCAACTCTTTCACTTTCTTCCTATACAGTACATGATGTAAAATTCAATTCTTAGCAAAAGGCAAAAAACATCAGCCCTTACTTTCAATAACTATCAAGCACTTCCCAAAAAGCAGTTATTTGCACATTGGCTTGTTGCACAGATTCTTATTCCATCTTCCAAGGCTACTGTTTATGATTTAAATGCCAATGTATTGATTATTGATTTTTAAACAGAAGCTTGAGCATATATTACTCATAACTTATGTTTGTGTTAAGTCTGCGATCCGTACCTGTCCAGTGTAGTCAGTCAGTCACAGACCATCTCTGCAGCTTATACTGCCCATTGTTTTTTCTGTTCTACCCCAGCTTCAGGCAGCTTTCCATCTGTTACTTAACTGGTTTGTTTCCTCTTTTGACATGCACACAATTTTTCTCCCTTGACAAACGGCTCTGTGGTTTTCTACAAGAGCAGCAGTTTCAGGTCCAGCTGCAGGGGCTTTAGCCTCCTGCTTCCATTTGTCTTTCCTCATGCTGCTGCTTCTTCCTCCTTTTGCTCTTTGCCCCTGTGCTGTGTTGCTCTTGGTGTTCAGGAGCAGACATAAGCAGTGCTTTTCTTTCTTTAAGGAGGAGCGATGCCTCATGGCCTGTTTGTGCTGGTATCCAGATGGAATTGCTCTAGCTCGGATCACGTGGTCTCTGGGTACCGCTCACCCTCCACATCCTGGATGCAAGCTGGAATTTCTCATGGGACACTTCTGTTTTTTGGTTTTGTACTGTTTTGGTCTTGCCATTTGCTCAGTTCATTCTCAGATTTGTTTTCCGCAAAAAGTGGTTGCTGCTTTTGGTGGCATGGCATGCACTATCATCTTGGACTGTTTAATCTGAGTCTTGTATGAATGAAGATCCAGCTGACTTATTTATTTATTTTATTTGCCTTCTGGCTTGATCTGCCTTTTTTCTGTGAGGATATAGAGTGTTTCCAAGCCCCACACCAGACCCTAAGCATGAGTCAATGAGTTTCTCTCTTGCCACATTGGTTGGGTTGTTGTTTTTTTTTTGGGGGGGGGTCCCACCCCCTTCCCCAGAAATGTTCCGTTCCTTGGTGTTGTCTTTTTCTACTTTAGTGTCTAAAGTAGCCCATTAAAGAGTGCAGGGTGTGTTTGCTATTCTGTCAGTCCTGCTTGATGGACAACCCCTACTTTACCTAGGTATAGGATTGGTTGCTACTCCAAGGTTTACAGTCCAGGGTTATGCTGTTAGTACTATACTAACAATTAAGAACAGTGTTTTGTTTTGTTTTTTCTTTCTCTGACTTATTCCTTAAACCTGCCTGTGAACTCTAGACTGGTAGTTTGTGGTTCTTATATGTGCCATTGATACCTACATATACAGAGACAAATTTCAAGATTTGTTCCAAACAGGTGAAATGTACCTGAGACTTAGGAGCCCAAGCTCCAGACTTGGTCTTCCAATAGAGAAGGATTGCTTACTAGTTCAGAAACCTCAGCTGGGATTTTCAAAGGAGCCCAAAAGGCTTAGGTATGCAGCTACTATTGAACTTCAACTACATTTTGGCACAACTCCCATAGGCTCTTTAGCAAATTCTATTCCTTACCTTGCCCTAGGGAGTTAGATGGACAAACTAGATATGAGCATCATCTCACAGCTGAAGTAAAGAACATTTTTATTATGGCCTTCTTTGACTTTGGTATGTCTACATAAACTTCCTGCAGCTTCAGTCAATGTCTCTTCACTTCCTGTCCTAGCCATGGTATAATACTCCAGTGAGCTGGATAGCTGTGTCCATCTCACACGTTGAGAAAGTGATTCCTTACCTGTACCTTGTAATGATTGGGTCAAAAGGTATTACTTGTAAGGCAGGGTGTGAATCAGGCTAAATTTTAACTGTTGCTTGTGTTTTTAAAAAAAAAGGAAAATGGAGATGTAGCTGGAAAACGTTTCTTTCATCTTGTAAGCTTGCAAGGAGGTGGGGTTTTTAAAGAAATCGTCACTGGGCAAGCATAGGTCCTAGCTCTGCTGAGTCCCTGTGTCTCTGGGCAGGTGCAGGGGCAGGGTCTGAAAAGCATGTTGGCACAGCACCTTTCCCTGTTCTGAGAACTAACAGACATCTCTCGCTCTTACAGGTTTCCTTCTGCCACCTCTGGATTCAGCTTCAGGGAGATCCAGGACTACCTCAATTCCTACCGGTAGGCAGGGTGAAATGATGGGTGAGAAGAAGCACCATGCTGAGAACCATTTTGTTGTCTTGTCAATTTGCCATCATAGTTTGGTGCCTTTTTTTCCCTGTGCTTCATGAATTTTTGGAATCCTCTCTTTCCTACAGTCTTTCACTCCAGCTATGGCAATATCTGCTATACCAGGCTTGTGAATGTGGCCCAACCCTAAAGCATGAAAACAGTTAAACAATTTGCATCTCTTGGCTTGTTTCTTGGAGCAAGGCATGGTTTGAAGACAAACTTAGCTCTTGTACTGAAGGGATGTTCTGCATAGCTTGGCATTACTGGTTGTCTAGAGAGCTTTGCTGCACAGATCTGCTGAGGGCTCAATTCCTCTTCCACCTTGGCTAGATGGAAGATGGGATCACACCTGCTTGAAGGATGGATTCTCTCAGAACAGCGTGGGCAGGAGAGAGCAAAAGTGAGAAATCTAACAGCCTCCCTGTTTCTCTTCTGTTTCACAGGACTGGGGAGCTGACGCCAACACAGATTGCAGAGAACATTATTTCCTTGCTGGAGGATTGTGAAAAATCAAGCCCCCCGCTTCGAGCAATTGTGCAGTGGGACAAGCAACAGATTCGGATGGTATGTCTGTGTGGAGTAGGAGCAGGCCTCTGCCCTCTCTGAAGCAGCAGTGTTGTATTCTTTACCAGAGGAAGGCTCTAACCTGCTGCTTGTCCAGCTAGAGATAAAACCTTTCTCCTTTCTTGCAGATGGCTGAGGCCTCTACCACTCGCTACAGAAATAAATGCCCCCTGTCTCCTTTGGATGGCATCCCAGTCTGTCTGAAAGAAGAGATTAAGGTGGTGAGTTCCCTTGGAAGTGTGTCTATGGCTGTTTTGAGAACTTGCTATGAACCCTTCACCTGAGGAACGCTGAGAAACTGTTTTGCTTCTAAAAGGCATAAAAAAAAACCTGTGAGTTCAAAAACATGCCACAGGCCTATGGACCTTGCTGCTGCAGGGAGGTGTTGAGACAGATTTCTCAGATTGGGGGCGGGGAGGGCTAGGTATTCATGGGAATGAGGGTAGCATTAACAGTACAATGGTAGGCTAAAGAATAGGATAACATGGACTCTGGAAGATGAGCGCAACAAGAATGCCCTCCATATCTGGGACTTCTAATGCCATCTGTCCCCTAATGGGAAGGGTCGGGGGTTGGAGAGAGAAGGTCTGCCTTCTTTCCTGCCAAGACAAAGTTCAATAAATGTGTTGCCAAGGTTGGGGGAGCAAGGGTTTTTCCTGAAGTTCTCATCACTGGCCTAACTTGGCTCCTGTTTTAAGTCCTCCAAGGGATTTTTGAGTTCTCTTACTGCTGTCTGGTGCGGGTGGGGTTCAGACTACTTTGAGTATTTTGAATCCCTTTCCCTGCCCCGCCCCCCCAACCCCCCAGCAGTTTTTCACCTCTGTCCTAGCATGAGTTACCCCTTTACATTTGCCTCCCCTACTAGATGGCTTTGCTTTCTGGGGCACAGAATTTCAGATTTGCCCATGGAGTCACAGGCATCCTATCCTGCTTTGCCTGGTGTTTGGACTCCTTATCCTTGTTGTACTGCTACATAGCACCTCTGAAAACGTAACCTCTTATTTGGATGCCTAAATGCCGGCATAAGGACCTGTTTTCTCCACCCAGGAAGTGAACATAATTAATCATTCAATAAAATTCTTTTTTTTTTTTTTAAGCATTTGCACGTGGTTGTCCACTTGGAGAGCATTAGCACACCCCACCATGAGGTAGCTCTGCAGGTAGCACTTGAAATCAAAAGGGTGATTCTTTCCCCCAAGTTCTCAGATGGCAAGAACAAGGAGGGCAGGACCCTGCATGCCCTGGAGCTGCGAGGTTAACAGTTGCTATGGTCAAATTTGCTCAGCTATAACATTTCCCTGTCTTGCCCAGAACAGATGAGACAAACCTGTCCTCTTGTGCGGGGAGGGATGAAGGGGGAGGAAAGAGTCATTGGTATGTGCATTAAGGATGCCTAAGGCACCCCCTTCTCCCCAAGGTGCCTTATCATCATCGATCAGGAACGGCATATCTGGGGACAGAGCCTGAGACTGAGGATGCTACACTGACCAGGAAGCTGCGGGAGGCTGGAGCTGTCATAATTGGGGTCTCGAACATGCATGAACTGGGGACTGGAACCACTGGCTGTAATCCCGGCAGGTGAGAGGTTCGCTCCCTCCTCCCCCTCTGGATTGTGACATTGGTGTGATAAATACCGCCCCCTGCACACACGCAAGCGCACGGAGCACAGGATGAGGGAAAGCTTCCTTAGGACTGTGGGGCAGAATGCCCAAAGGATGGGTGTAGAATGGGGTATATGCCTTAAAGAGCAAAGTGTGCATTTCTTTGGGCAGGAGATGGGGAGAGGCTGTTTCTGAGTTCTCTCTTGGTTCCTCCTCTGCCCTTCCTGAACAACTGCACTCCTCTCATTTCCTTCAGGTTTCATGGCACCGCTCGAAACCCATACAACCCCAAGCACTTCACTGGTGGCAGCTCCAGTGGGTCAGCAGCTGCGGTAGCTGCAGGTGAGATGCCCTGGACCTGGCTTGAGTGGGAAGGGGCACTGTAGGAGCCTCTGGGGCCATTGTGGAAGGTCCCAGGGTCTGTCAGTGTCATTACTGGCTGGAGGCTTGCAAGATGCCTGCAGGCATTTGGGGAACTGGGGAGAGCATGAAATGGCACAAATCCAATAGGTGGGGCCTCTGATCAGGAAGAAGCCCACCAGGGTGAATGTCGTGTGGTTTCTTCCCCTCTGCCTCCGAATTGAAGGTTGCTGGTTTGGCTCTACAAGGGAATTTGGAAGTGAATGGGAGCTCTGCGTAGTGTGGCATGGTCTGTTTACAGTGTCTTTTAACCTGTTCTCTGTAGGTCTTTGCCCTTTGTCTATCGGCACTGATGGAGGTGGCTCTGTGAGGATTCCTGCTTCTTTCTGTGGTGTTGTGGGGCTGAAAGGTAACCTCACTGCACACTCACTCTCTTGTCAGACTGAGGAGTCCTGCATTTCCTCACAGGGGGTAGGGCACTCCACAGTCCGCTTCCAAGCACCAAGCTGTTCCCCAGCCCCATAAGGACTTTGGGGGTGATGGTAATGACATGCTGCATGGACAGTGTTGATTGCAAAGAGTTATTATCCTGCATCCATTGCATTAGGCTTTGCAGTGATTGGCAGGACACTTAGAGGTGGTGCCTGTGTTTTGATGCTCCCAAATCAAAATTAAAAAATGAGGGCTTGCAGCCAAGAAGGGAAGCACATTGCAGAAGTAGAGTCTCTGTGTGTCCAGGTGACACCTGATTCTGTACTCCAGCCCTTTGTGCCTTTCAGCCCCCACAGGATCACTTGTTCTAGCAGAAGTAGTAGGGTAAGCAAGTGTCATTTTGTGGGCTGGAGGGCAGAAGGGGGAGATACCAGAGTATGAACCATGCTAGCCTGGGCCCAGAGGCATCTCTTAGGTATGAAGATAGAGATAAAGACTCTCTTGAAGTTGTTTGTCACCAGCAAGAGTGACATTGACTCCCACTTTACCATGCTTCTTCCCCTGGGGAGGAGAAGATTAAGAAGAGAGAGAAAAATGGGTGAGAGAAATTGGATATTTGGCTTCTCCTGTCTCAGTGGTGGCTTTAATACAGAACCTGTAGATAAATGTCTCCCGACTTGGGGATTCAGGAGACCTTATGATTGAGAAGGTCACTGTATCCCCTGTTTTCAAGATGGGGCCCTGATTACCACTGGGTTAGGGACCTGGCTAGAACAGCCTGGCAGCTGTTCTCAGTCTGCAAAGCAGGAAGGTGACTTTGTTGCTTTTAGTCCTGCAGTCACCTATACCCATGCTAAAATCCAAACATGCGAGCGTTTCAGAGCTGGGATCCTGGTTCATGCTGGAGAGGGGGCCAGGAACAGCAGGAACCTTTGTGCTGGAAAGGCCTTTAGGGATCCAGAGCTGGGTTAGTATCTTTTTTGGCAAGCATACTTGCCATCCCCTAAAGCAAAACGTAATGGAAAAGCAGAGCCCTACCTTGGGCCTGGAGGGAGGGACAGGCAGGGACCCCAGGCTGCAGGGTTCTTCCATCTCTGGAATGCCCAGTTGGTTATCAGACCTGGGTTCTCCCTGAGCTGCACCAGAGGTCAAAGTGCTCCTCTTCCTCCCCTGCTGCTCGTGCTTTCTGGGAAGAGGCTGTGGTATGGGCCAGTTTGGCTGAATAAAGAAGCCAACAATCTGTGCTGCCAGTGGCTCCCACAGCAGTAGGATGAGGGGATATAGAGTGACGTGAGGATGTAGAGTGATGTGATTAGAGAGCAGATTTAAAATGAGTGAAAGGATTTTTTTTTTTTCTCGCACAGGAAGTACTCAACTTGTGGGACTCATTGTCATAGGATATTGTGGAGGCTGATCATTTTAACCAGGCTCAAAAGAGAATTGAACAAATTCATGGAGGAATGGACCCCTCAGTGGCTGTTTAAACACTGCAGTAAAGGGTGCACCTCCTAGGTCTCAGAATGCTGGAAGCCATTAAGGAAGGGTGGTAGAGGATGGATCAGTCTGGACAGACACTGCATAAGTACTCTTCCTCTCAACACCTGCTCTCTGTAACTGTGAGACACAGGAGATAGGGATAGATGGACCAGTGGCCTGACTCAGGATCATAGATGTTATGCCCATCTCTGACTCGTACCTGTTCTCTGTTGCCTCTAATTGGGGTCTCTACTTTGTCTTGAAGGTACATTTGGATGTTTCAGTGCTTACGGTTGCCATCCACTGTCCTACTCCACTGTCAGCCTCGGTAAGAAGGCTTTCACTGTGCTGCTGCAACTTGGCTGGCCATGCATGTGTTGGGCCTGGAGTGACTGGTGGGGGAGGGAACAGCAGGCACCTGCATGAAAGGGAGCATGCTGACAAGAATGTGTGTGGTGGAGAAGAGTGAGGGTGGAATCCCTCCACATCCCCACGGGTTCATAACATTTGGATTTCCTTTGGACAGGGCCTATTTGTGCATCAGTGACAGATGCAGCCATTGCGTACAGCATCTTAGCGGCACCAGACCCCCTGTACCCCTATGGTGAGTGAGCTGCACCCTCTCTCCTGGATGCTCTAGGTGCGGTCTCTCATTGTGATAACTTTGGCGCCTGACAGAGGGTGCCTTTATCCCTTGCAGGATTGCACCAGCCGAAACCATCCCTGTCAGACATACTCGCCCCTGACCTGAAGGGCTTAAAGCTGGGAGTGGACTGGACTTTCTTTAAGGTGCCTGTTGTTACTTCTCCTTCTGTGCTGTACTGCAGTAGGTGTTTGAAGCACCTTCAAATAGAACTTCTCCCCTTTGCCTGGCAGCCAGGGATTAACTGATTGCAAAGGGATTTCCCTTTGCTTCCCTGAGCACTTTGGCATGTCAGAAAACATTCAATCCAGTTCAAAGCAAAACTTTTCCCAGAAAGTGACTTGTCAGAATCTGCCTCTGCCTCCCCAGTTTTCTGAGGGGTTTGGGTGATAGCACAAGGAAGCAATATGCATCAGTGTATCCACAGTGCTTCCACTTGAAATCTTTTTTGAGTGGTTCACTCCACAGGAGATTGTTGATATTTCCACCTTCTTTGGTCTCCATATGAGACGAAACCAAATGCTAAAATACTGGGATTTCCCTGCTGCATGGAAATACCATTTTTTTTTTTTTTTTTTTTTTTTTTTTTTTTTTTTTTTTCAGTACTTGTTTTTCTGAAGGTTGTTTGGGCTGCATGGTCTCTGGGTTCAGGCTTGCTATCCCGTGGTTCTACTAGCCTCCCTCCCTGCTAAGACAGCAGCTTCTTGTCGTTGTAGGATTGGAGCTGATGCCCAAAGAGCCTGGGGTGATGCAGGTTAGATCTGCTGCCTCCAACTCTGATGTAAGGAGAAAGGGAATGTGTGGCCTAAGATCTGGTGCTCAGGGCAGTAAGGTGGCAAGTAATTGAGCTCAGCTCTGGGGGAAGAGGAGAGGTAATGACTAATTGGATCCTTCTGTTTAATGTCTTTTCAGGCTTGCAATGCAGAGATCTTGGCAGTCTGCCAGAAAGGTAAGGCACAAGACTCTCTTACCTTTTTATTACTAATCCATTTGGGATAGCTTCTCCCCCCAAGTGGCCTCTAAACCTCTGGATCAAAGGCTGGGAGGTTTCACAAGAGGAAGAACATCAGGGCAGCTGACTAATTCCTAACTTTTTTTTTTTTTTCTGTGCATGTCTCCTATGAGGTGTCTTGTAGCTCACATTTTGACTAATCTTGGCTAGCAGGGCCTCCTCTTCATCAACAGCCATGGGGCCCTGAATAACCCTGGGCTTATTCTGAGTCAATAGCATCAGCAGGTCCAGGCTCTTTCAGGTCAAATAGCTGGGGTAGAGGGCAAGCCTCCTGAACCCAGTGCTATGGGTTTGTTTCTTTGCCCTGTTGTAACTCAGCCTGTGATCAATACTATTTACCTGCTGCTTTCTATTTTAAAAGGTCTGTTTCTCTTTTGCCACAGCCTACCACTAAATGCTTCACTGTATTCAGTGGAGTTGGTTCCTGCTCCAGCTACCGTACTGCTTGGGGCTTTGGGTAAAACTAAAACAGGGTGTCTGTCTTTTCTATCCCCACTTAATTTAAAAGATGTTGTGAGTACTTGGATGGGACACTCCATAAATATGTGGGTTCTACCAGTTGCTTCCACGCTTCATATTCTAACTGCTTGGCTGCATCTCCTCTGGAGGTGCTTGATGCTGTCCTAGGTGTATTTTATCTTCTGTTCCCAACTCTTCTATTTTTTACACATGCATATACGTCATAAATACAGGGTGTTTATAAAGTCCTTGTGCAACTTTAATAACTCTGAATGTACACATGATAGAAGCAAACTAAACAGCAATTGAAAGCATAATTAATTTTTAACATGATACAACTCAAACTTCTAGGCTTCAACATAACCACCATTTCTCACAATACATCATTCAATTTTTCCAACTCATAGAAAACATTTTTCCAGTTGCTGCTGAGTGATTTCATGAATTACATTTGTGATCCTTGCCCTATGCAGAGTTTAGACTATGCTGCAAAACTTAATGAATTATGCTTAGTGAATTAAGTACCTTGGTCCAGTCCTATTGATAGCATCCTCCCTGGAGCATGGTGGGGTCTGACCTAGTGGGGCGAGTGGTGCTGCAGATAACACTTCCCAGCCTATCATTATCCCTTCTTTACTGACTGGCTAACCAAAGTGGAAGCAACTCTCTCAAGGAGTAGCCAGGCATGGGAAGAGTCAAGAGCACATCCACAAACTCCAGGGATGTAGGGATTATGTAAACAAGCCCTGTGGTAGCTTGTTTCTTTCTTCGGTTTCTCTCTTCTAGCTAGAGGTGGCCAGGAGCATTACTGCACCTTGCACTGGGTAACCAGGCATGCAAGTAGCAGGCATGTGGGAGCCCTGGTCTTTCACAAGATTGAAATCCTAAGCCCTCTGTCTTGGTAGTGGGTTCAGCACAAGTAATGCAGCATGTTGTGTTTTGCTTGATTGCCAGCTGTGGAACATCTGCGGGCCCTGGGTGCCACAGTGGTGGAAGTGTCCCTGCCAGAGATGGAGGAGGTGCGGGTGGCACATCTGATCTGTATTCTCAGTGAGATGAGGGACTTCCTGCAGCCTGACTTCAACCACCACTTCCAGGACATGGTAAGGGCATGCCCCCTGGATTGGCAGCACTCATCCTGCTTATTCTAGGCTGTTTGTCAGCCACTATTACCTGTGAAAGGGCAGACTTGCAATGTGGGAAAACATGAGTCCTTCCTCACTTCCTTGTGGTGTGTGGCAACCAATGTATTAAAAATGGCCATGGGAAGGTAGGATGAAAGGGCCATCAAGTCCAGTGCCCTGCTGCTGCAGGTGGCTGCATCTTGGAATCCCCTCCACATACCTGTCCATTCACATTAAGGGGTACAGCCCCTGCTGCCTTCCCACGTACCCCTGGGGAAGGCTGGTCCAGAACACAGCATCTTGATCTGTGGTTCCTGACAAGGCGGCTCTGACTCTGGGGAGAATGTAAAAGCTCCTGCCTTGTTCTTTACCCTGTGCAGATATGAGAACCCAGCTTGTGTGCAAAGCACTGACCTGATACTGTTGTATTTCAGAACCTGGAGACACGGGCCAACCTTGCCTTGGCTTCCAAATTCACTGCTCTGGATTACATTAAGGTGGGGAGCATGCTGTGGAGGGGGCCTAGTGGGAGGCTTCTCCCAGCTTGGTGGTGAGAGAGGAGGGGGAGGCATAAATGGCGGAAGGTGGGGGCTAATTGGGTTTAGCCAGTGTCGTGTTCCCCCCCCCCCTTCACCCCCCCTCCCAAATACAGGGTAGGGCTGCAAGGCAGCCCTGCTAAGGGCTTCCAGCAGCTTCAACAGGGGTGGGGAGGGAGTGGGGCTAGGGGAGGGGCAGGCGCTCCACAGCCAGGGTGGGGTGCAGGACTGAGCTGCAAGCAGCTCGTCCATGGGACGTGGCTCTTGCTGCATCCTGGGGGGTATGGGGGCATGCACCCCCGGATCTCCGCAGGGCAGGGCAGGCTGCTGTTGGGGGCTGGGCCGGGCTGCGCTCAGGGCAGGTGGCGGCAGTGCTGGGAGAAAGCTATGGGTGCGGGGACTGCTGCAGCATTAGTGGTGGTTGTGGTTGCTGTTGCTGTTGCCGACGACTTGGCACAGGGGGTCTGGGGTCTCCATCCCTTCCAGCCCAGCGGCGCAGCCAACGCTGGCCCCCCTCCAACCCCTGACTCCAGGCGCCAGGAGGTGTGGGACTGGGGGCCAGTGCAGAGAGGCAGCCAGGGCTGGTGTGGGGCTGGGGGGCGGTCGACTTGTTAGAGTGGGGGGCGCTGGTGCAGGGCAATGACTCTGGGCACGGGGGAAGGGGCGGCTGCACGTGCACAGCAGGCCCCAGCCCTGATCATGGGTCCAACTCCACTCCGATTTCCCTCCTCTCCCCCACCACAGCCTTCTTCCCCTCCCCTCTGCAGATTTTCCCACCTGGGAGGGGGCGCACATTTGCCCACGTGCTCCAACACTTCCTTCCCTCCCCACCCCCCCCAATTTTTTTTTTCCCCCCTCCGCCTATGGGAAGGACCTATATTAAGGCTTCTATCACCTTGGGTAAAGAGCCCTAGAAAAGTTTTTTTTTTCTTTTTTTTGTTTGTGTGGTTTT